CCCCCCCCCCCCCCCCCCCCCCCCCGGCCCCCCCCCCCCCCGCCCCCGACTCGGGCGGCGGAGCGCGCACGCCCGCCCGCACGCGCCGGACGGGCTCCGGGCTCGCCGCTCGCTCTCCCCCCGACCCCCGCCTTCGGCCGCCTGGCGCGCCCGCCGGCCCGTCGGCGCTCGCTCGGGGGCGCCCGCTCGCACGGCCCCCCGCCCCCCCCTCGTCCCCTGTCAGGACGGCCGGGCGCGGGCCCTCACGCGTACCTTCGGCGGCGCGAGCCCCAGCCTCCTCCTCCTCCACCGCCTCTTCTTTCCTCCCCCCCCTTCCCCGCCCCCACGGCCACCAACCGCCGCCACGGCCGCCGCCGCCGCCGCCGCCGCCCCCCCCACATGCCCTCCGCCCCTCGCGCGTGCGCCTCCCACAATCCCCCCCGCCGGACCGTTCCATTCCGCCGCCGCGGGAGCGGGTTGGGGGAGGCCCGGAGCCGCGGCGGGGCCGCCGTGAGGGCTGCAGCCCGGGCGAGGGGCGGGCGGGGGCCCGGGACGACTCACCGCCGCGGCCGCCGCGCCGCGCCCCCGACGCTGGCTTCCGCGCTCGGCCGCCGGGCCCCGGTGGGCGCGTCGAGGGCGGCCCGGCTCCCCTCCGCCGGCTGGCGGGTGGACGCCGCGGCGGCTGCGCGCTGAGCAGCTTCCTGCCGAACGGCCCGAGCTCGCCGGGCGTTTGCGGGCAGCGCGGGGAGCGGCCGGCCTTCGGCGTCGCGTGCGGCTAGCGGCCCCGGGACCCTAGCGGGGGAAGGAGCCGGCGCTAGCGGGCTGGGAGCGAGACCCGAGCGCCCACCAGGTAGGGAGCGGGGCCGTGCGGCCGGCGGCTGTCCGGGAGGGGGGCTTCCTCCCGGGCTCCGCGGGGCGGACTTGGACCCGCCGGGAGCCCGCGCGCGCGTCGCGCTTCTTGCTTTGTGTGGTGAAGCCCAGCCCGGGGGCTCGGGGCTCACGGCCGGGCGCCCGCACGCTGCGCTGGAGCGCTCACGCGTGCCTCCTGGAGGGACCTGCTGCTCGGGGGCACCGGGGACGGAGACCACGTATTCCTGGCTCCGCGCCGGCCTCGGTCTTCCGTGTCTGGCGTGTCCTACAGAACGTTGTTTTGCTTCGTTCTTTATCAAAACGAAACGGAAAAGTGGACGTAAAACTTAGTCACGTCCGAGTGGGCCTTCCGAGTCTGTGAGATCCTCTCCGCCGAGCGGAGCGTGTTCCCGCTCGCAGACCCGGCGGGCAGCTCGGCTGTGCGGTGCCGCCGGCCCTCTGGACGGTTCGTGCGGCCGCGCGGACCGGGGCCTGGCGGATTTCGGCGGCTCCTGACGCTGCTTCCTCAGCACTCTGCACCGATACGTACTTAATCTTGGAGGGGGAATGCGGGGGACTCTGGGCTCTCCGAACCCAGGGTCTGCCTAATCTCGCAGTTTTCGTTTCCCCCAAAGGGTAAAGCAGAATACGTTCCCGGAGGGATCTGTCTCCTTGGGTTTCCCTTTCCTTCACTTCTGTGGACTTGCAGGGATCCAGGGAGCGGCTTCAGAATCCCTGTCCTAGACTGACCTCAAAGCTCTAAGGTTGAAGTAGACATACTCCCTTTCCGCATTTCCATGCATGGGTCAGGTTGTGTTTGCTTAGTTTGTATTTTTGAAGGTAAAGAGAAAATTAGCTTTAATGATCTCATATATATTTGGTTTTCCTAACCATGTGTTAAGTCTCAGCTCTTTCATGGGTCCATCTAAGTTTGCTTTGATCTTTCTTTAATTGTATCCTATATGCAAATGTGTTACCCTACCAACATTTTAATTTTCTTAAAAGATTTTTATTTATTTGACAGACAGATCACAAGTAGACAGAAAGGCAGGCAGAGAGGGGGGGGGGAAGCAGGCTCCCCGCTGAGCAGAGAGCTTGATCCGGGCTTGATCCCAGAAGAGGCCAGGCTGGATCCCAGAACCCTGGATCATGACCTGAGCAGAAGGTAGAGGCTTTAACCCACTTTGCCACCTAGGCGCCCCCTACCAACATATTTAATTTGATGATAGGGACCAGGTCTAACACTCCTTGTGTATTCTTTTATAGCCCTAGTGGAACGTAAGTAGTGGAAATCTTAAAAGAATGTTAGATACTTAAGATCTGAGAAGGGAAAGAGAATTAACATTTGAGGAACGCCGCGTGGGGAGAGCACGTGTTCCTGCTTAAATAACACTTTAGCATAGATCATCCTAATTCCCATATTACAGATGAGGAGCCTGAGGCTCCCAGAAGTCCAGGAACTTGGGATTTCACATTGGGTGTGGTGCTTGGGTGGCTCAGTCCTTTAGGCAGCTGACTTCTGCTCAGGTCTTGATCTTAGGGTCCTGGGATTGAGCCTGCTCAGCAGGGAGTCTGCTTGTTCCTCTCCCTCTGACTCACTCGTGCTTCTGTGTGCGCTTTCTCTTAAAAAAATGAAATCGTAAAAAAAAAAAAGATTTCACTTTGTCCTAAAAACCTTTTTCACTATACCACATTATCTTCACAGTAAAAATTTGTCATCACCAGCATAAGTACATATGCTACGAAGAAAAGACACTTAATGGATTCCACTGCACCTGCGTATAAAGAAAGTTGCTTGCTTTCTCTGCCTTCATCTTGCTTTCATCAATTGTCCGCTGAGTATAGACAAGATCATACCCCGTTCTTTTGTATAAGCCCAAGCCTCCCAAGCTATATTAAGTACTCAGCAAAATGACCTTATTGAATGAATGAAACCTGAATTCCTTGACGCAAGGAAGGTAGGGAAGGCCGAATCATGGTCTCCCAAAGATGGCTGTGCCCAGCCCCTGGAACCTGTGCGTATATTACATGGCAAAAGGGAACTGAGAACACAGATGTTATTAAGTTTGCTAATCAGCTAACCTCAAAATACGGAGATTATTCTGATTATGTAGTAGGCCCACTATAAGTACAGGAGTTGTGGAAAGATGGGGCAGAAGAGTCACGACTGGATGTTGCTGGCTTTGAAGATGAAAGAGCAGCTTCTAAAATCTGCAAAAGTCCGAAACCCAGGTTCCCTACTGGAGCGTCCAGAAAGCACGCGACTGCGCGTGTGCACTTGACTGAGGGACTTCTAAACCACAGAGCTGCCGGCGACAGATCTGGGTGGTTTTATACCACTAAGTTTCTGGTAATTTGGCGCAGCCGCTGGAAACTATGTGGAAAGGGAAGCGAAGGCCTAAGTAGGCTCCAGAACACCTGGCTTGGATTGTGGTTTTGTGCTTTAATTCAAGAATTTGTTTTGTTTTTAAGATTTGATTGATTTGAGGGGCATCTGGGTGGCTCAGTGGGTAAAGCCTTTGCGTTTGGTTCAGGTTGATCCCAGGGTTCTGGGATCGAGCCCCGCATCGGGCTCTCTGTTCAGCAGGGAGTCTGCTTCCCCCCTTTCTCTCTGCCCGCCTCTCTGCCTACTTGTGGTCTCTCTCTGTCAAATAAATAAAATCTTAAAAAAAAAAAAAGATTTGATTGATTTGAGAGAGCACGGGGGGGTTAGAGGAATAAGCAGGCTCCATGCTGAGCATGGGAGCCAGGGCGCCAGATGTGGGACTCCATCCTGGAACCCCAGGATCACAAGCTGAGCCGAAATCATGACGCCTAACTGCGCCACCCAGGTGCCTCCGTGCAAATGAGGCTGTGGTTCAGGTGAACATTTGCCCTGAGAACAGTGATCCGTGTTCCCGGAGCTGCCTGGATTTCCAGTATTTCCCTGCAGCTCTGCCTCTGGCGCCAGGCTTCAAGGTGTAAATAGACAGCCGGGCTCCATGGTCCTGCCGCACCGCAGCAGTCTTAGCTAAGCTGCCTTCAGACTCGGCTGCTCGAACAGGAGCACTCAAACACGCTTTTCATGGTGCTTCCTTGCTGGGGTGCTGTCTCAGTGCAGTACAGGTGTGCAGGAGAACTTCCTCCCTGCAAACTCCAAAATAAAGTTTCAAATGTTAAAAGAAATTTTTAAAGATAAAAGTCAACTAGAATATCATCATGGTTGACTTTATATGTGGTAAGTTGTGGAGAAATGCTATCTAAGCACAATAGTCTAAATTTCCTATCTAACAAGGGAAGAACTCCGAAATTTTAGAGGTGGGGGTCCTACCAAGATTTTTTTTTTAAAGATTTTATTTATTTATTTGCCAGAGAAAGAGAGAGCGAGCGCAGGCGGGCAGAGTGGCAGCAGAGGCAGAGAGAGAAGCAGGCTCCCTGCCGAGCAAGGAGCCCGATGTGGGACTCGATCCCAGGATGCTGGGATCATGACCCGAGCCGAAGGCAGCCGCTTAACCAACTGAGCCACCCAGGAGTCCCTCTTACCGAGATTTTAAACCACTGCTTCGGGTGATGGGTTGCCTGTTGGGGAAGCGCGAATGGACACCTGGACTGCGCAGGTGCAAAGCCGGGCTGTGAAAAGTTGGGTAGAGCCTCAGTGGCGGTGGCACATAGTAGATTTAGGTGCCACAGTTATCTCCATTTTAGAAGTGAGGGAACAGCCACATGGAGCTGAAGTAACGGGCTCGAGGTAGCACAGCTATTGAGTAGGATTTCAGCACGTGGATTCGAGAGTCGGCGCTTCTGACCGATCTGCCATACTTCCCGCTGTTTGTTGTGTCTGTAAATTGGACATGTTACCTACATCATAGAATTGTCGTAAAGGTAAAGTGAGTTAATTCACATAAAGCACTTAGAGGCCCCCGACGTACAGAAGGTGTTGGGGATATGTTAGCTGTTGTGTCATTGGAGCTCAAGGTGATTCTTTGGTGCACTTGAGTCACTGGAAGAAAGAAAACATCAATGCAGATGCCCCTTCCTTTGCGTGGACCGGCACCGTCCTTTTCTTTCTTTTATATGTTGGTGCTGTCACTGCTCTCAGCTTGATAAAAGTTAGATTACCAGAGGAGGGAAACATCTGGAAAACCTACTGGAGTGTATTTGTTTTATAGGTAGGAAACTTGGCCTGAGAGAGAAGGAAAAAAAGACTTGTAGGGGCTAAAATCAGTGTCTTTTCCTGTAGGAAATGTCATGTGCAGGGTACTTGCGGTGCAGTGTAAAGGGCTCATCCGTCCTGACGTGGACTTAGATGCGGTGTTGGGGTGAGGACCCACTGCTTTTAGTTACTTATCAATCTCTAAAAGTTTGATGCAGCAGGGTTTTCTATCCTCAGAAGTATAATTCCTGCAGAAAATTACGTGTTAGCTTACAGGATCTCACTAAGGGTCTGTTGATTTGATTTTGTAAAATTTACTCTGGGCGATAGCAACCTGATCCAGATTCAAAAAGTACAAAGCACACCTCCCTCCCTGTTCCTGCCCCCAATGGAACCCATTCCTTTCCCTGAAAGCAACCAGTATTCTCAGTTTTTGTATATCCTTCAAAATATGGACCTTTTTACAAACAAATTGTGTGTGTGTGTGTGTGTGTGTGTGTGTGTGTATATACACGCCCCTGTATATATATCCCCCCCGCTTTTACACGAGTGATAGCTAACTATACACAGTATTCTGTGCTTTCTCTCCCCTACCTAATGCATATGGAGGTTTTCCTTCATCAGGTGCAGAGGGCTCCCAGGCTGTGTTGTTAAGCAGTGGTGTGGCTGTGGTGTAGCATAGTAGGGCTGTGCTGCTTGCCCACTGGTGACAGATACTTAGATTCTTTCCATCTTAAGGTTAGAAACAGTGTTGCAGGTGAGTAATCTTACATTCATGACAATCTGTTTTCATTATGTCACTGTAAAAATGGTTTTGGTTAGGTCTCATAAAAAAAAAGAAAACCTTTAACATGGACACCTTACTGAAG